TTTTTCATGATACTTAATAAGGACGTTCTCAGATTGACGGGGTGACTCACACTTGCTATTCTGTCTGCTTAGAACAATGTAGCTCTCCGATAAATGACAGGATATTATGTATCCCGCTGTCCTTACAGACCATTTTTAACTTAAGTCAGGCCGCATAGCTGCTGATTACAGCATCGTAATCTTGGGTATGGTCAAAACGCAGCCTAGGTTTCAGAAGGGTTTAGCCTCATTTTGTAATTCAAAGCACGTTGTACAGCTGCCCCATTGATGTCTCTACTGCACGTTACCAGATGATACTTTTGCGGTGCATACATAATGCCAAAAAGGCAGATCCAAACGCACCTAGCCTACAGGAACGAGAATAATAGCCTTTGCTTAGTAGGCGGATAAAATGCCAAAGATCCTCTCTGTATACGTAGTTGTTTCTAAGAACCCTATGCTCGATCGAAATCTTCTTGGATGATAAAAAACCCACATATATACATATGTATGTTGGTAGGGGGCGCTCACTGATCGTTCTTACGGAACTCAGCCGTTCCGTTGTGCCTTACGGGATCTCCCATGCGCAGCTGTGCGGCTGCTGGTTAAGCTCGAGAGAGAACGCGTAAGACACAACGGACCGAGTGAGTGAGCATCCGAATTATTAGGTGTATTTTTTGTGATGCATACCATATTTCTACATGCGACATTATGAGAAAATTGTGTGGGTCTGATTAAAACTCGCATTGAATGTGTTCCAGCATTAATTAATACGCAGAATTAATTGGGACTTCAAAATCTCAAGAGATGTAACAATAAAATATCCGTCCAAACTAAAATATTTTTTCTTTGGTTTTTAGCTTTGAAGAATACATTCTGAGGTACAGACTTCCTCTTCGAAAAGATTGAAACTCTGCTTGGTGAATAACAGACTACGATTCCCCAAGGCATAATCAGATATAAGAGAGATGTGCAAAAAACAGTTTCCGATGCTACCTCTATTAGATTATTAAATTATCGTGAAGAAAGTCCTATTCAAGTTATTCAGCCCAACCACAGCCCTCGGTTTATTACCCTAATCGACGAATGAAATATTGCCTGAAAGTTTGCTACTGATTCAATGGCACTCCTACTAGATTGTTCTTGGTTAAAGGAGTGCAAAATGTTTGATCTGAATTTATATCTGCATTTTTCTTGGGAAGGATAAAATAAACTTGTGTTTATCATATCTGCTCATCTTCAGCATGATTATTGATTGTGAGCTTATATAAATCCTTAAGACAGTTAAATCCTTTATTGCCTATTACTCAGAAGACAATTCCTTGTGAATACTTTCTGTGATATAGTTAACCTGGATGAAGAATTTCATACACATCGTAGCAAAGAGGGAATTTGTGGAGTTTATGTTTAACGACAAGAGGGCAATCGAGGTGGCAGAAGTGCTGAGGCAGTTCGCGTATAAGAAGCACCCCGATGAGCAGTTGTACGGAACCCTCGCCTACAACGCACACTTGGGAGCCCCTGGAGCCTGTCGGAATCTCCATGAGTCGGGTGATAAGAACGTGGAGGTACTTCGACTTCCTGAATTAATTCGGTTTGTGCATTGGAGGCCAACACCGTGTCCTACCAAGTACGTCCGTGATGTTTGCATTCTCGGATCTCAACATTTGCCAGAATTGGTCAACTCCCACATGTTATTTGCCAATAAGTTCCACGAGAACTATTTCCCCGAAGGATATGACTGTCTTGAGAACGCAATTGCTGATCGCAGCCTACAAGGGTCCAGCAGCCAGCTTCCAAAAATGGAAGCATCGAAGGAAGTTAAAAATGGTCTGTAAGGACAGCGGGATACATAATATCCTGTCATTTATCGGAGAGCTACATTGTTCTAAGCAGACAGAATAGCAAGTGTGAGTCACCCCGTCAATCTGAGAACGTCCTTATTAAGTATCATGAAAAATGTTCTGAAGTCAATTAAAATTATTGTCTACGTACCGGAAAAGATAATTTGACTTTAGGGACCCGCCATTCGTTTCGCTTTTTAAAGGTAGTGTTGATAATGTTAGACCCGTTGAGCGCTTTGATACCTAGCACTAATTCCAGATTTGTCTTTAGGGGTAATTCCTGGCCAGTCAAATTTATCAAATACTTCCATTTCCCCATTTTGAGCAGCAGACGCGCAGCAACAAGCCCTTGCTCAAGGACCGTGTAATCTCCCCATTTGACGTTAATACTCTCGCTCCGAGGAACTACACCAACATTGTCCCCAAAACATTTTGCAGTTTCTTGCACGGCCCTATAGAAGTTGCGTGGGGACTTCTTGTCCACGTGAATGGCGTAGAAGTTTTGTGGTCGATAAATGAGGCGTAGTAGTCGTGCAACTTGATTAATGTCCTTGTATACCGAAAGGGAAAATGCCAGAGGAAATGCTCTCTCTGCCTCGGTAATCGGTACTTCTGTAGGGAACAGTTTTTGCTTGAAGTTCTTGCAGTTTTTGCCGAAATGTTCGTTTAGACTTCGAAAGTATTCATTCGTCTCCAGGGGAATAAGTCGTTTGGATTCATCATGAATGTTCGACGCGTTGTCTGAAAAGAGGATCTGACATCGTTGTGCCAGGTGCTGTGCAGAAAAGAGGATTGTCTTTTCCTTACGGGCGCGAGAAGGCAACAAGATGTGCACCTCATACAACAGGAACAACATGAAACCCAAGGATATAAATATTAAGATACGATACAGATGCCCCATCTGGTATACCGATATTTTGGATTAGTCTGAGTGTCCTTTGGTTACCTGTTGCCGACTGAAGTACCTTTGAAGGTTCTGGAGCTGGCATTAAATATCGTTGCTCAATTAAGACTCTAGAATTGTCTAATTTCACATGACGCATGCCTGCGACTATTTGCTGAATAACTTTGACTTAAAATAACGTTTCTTAAGCGCTGAGGCACGCTTTTCCGGCGTGATTATTCATGTGATGGTCGTCTACTTACGTTTTCTCCTTTAGATTTTCCAATATGATTCTATATAACCGGTGCAGTTTTCAGAAATCTCACACGCATCATCGACTGTCGGTCGTGCCGATCAGTGCTTCATAGCAGTCCAAACCAGCAGATGATAGAGAATTTCCGGACTGCAATTTGTCAGCCTAGTCGTCAACGTTTTAGTGCCCAGCGTCTTACGGCGTTACCACCTCATTATATTGTGGGTGCCTTGTTGATTTTGGAAGGAAGAATAGAACACATGCATTTTTCAGTAGTATCTGACTGTGCACATTTACTTCTATATCGCCATGAATTACATCTAATCCACCTTCATTCTTACCAACATCTCAAACGTAAACAACGGAAAAACTACCAGTATACAATATAAGGCGAAGTTTATATACTAGGAATTGTTGGCATACAAACCACTACTTCGAATGCAACGCAACCACAATATGTGGTTAATAATTCTTGCACATCTTGTTTTTACGCAGATCATCTCGGTTACATGGGTTCTTTTTGAGGATATCGCAGTGTTAGCGCCAAATAAAAAATAAAGGCTACTGAATCCACTGCAACATTCTAAAACTTTCAAACTGCCATACTATTATCACCGCGGCAGTTATTTTCAGGAATTTTTCAAGAAGGAAGACAGCTCCTAATTAAGGGTTCGGTGGTTTATGCATTTACTAGAATTGGACAGTTTTTATTTTGGGAAACCTGCCCTCATTTAGGTTTTTATTCCCAAGGAGTGCTTTGTCTGAGATCACGGCATTTTCGAAGTTTCCCACGTCCGAAAAAAAACACAGATTATAAATTATTCTAACAA